GTCCGGTCGCCGCTTCACGGCACTGACGAGCTCTGAGCTCGTGGCAGCTGTGGCTGGCGCCAAACCCAGTCGCTGCTTCAACGCATTGACAAGCGCTTCGCTAAGGCGCTGGTATTCCATGAGCTTTCCACTGACTTCTCCACGGCCCGTGCCAAGGCTTGAATGGCGTATTTTACAATGGCCGCAGGAACACTTCATACATTCATCTTTACAGTGCAGGATTCATATACCCTAAGAAGAACAGGGTGGGCTTTGGAGGGTGAAAGTAAACTACCTCTCACAGTAGGTGCGTTATTGACTGTGGTGCTCAGTGCATCGGGAGCGGCTAGAAGTGGAAGGTTGCAAATTGTTCTGAGGTTTTTGTGGAATCTTGTGCACACTTCTATCCCAACTTTGCGGTCAGATTCACGTGAGACATCACAGCAAGGAGTCCATTTGACCATACGTCCCGTGTTCGGACACGCCCGCTTTGTGGGCCTTTTCCGCGTCCTTCTTCAGCAAGCCGCAACTCAGCTGCAGCTCCTTGACAAAGCAAAGAAGATTGATGTTAGAACACACGACTCAGTCGAGGCTTATCTCCAGACATCAGGTAGAGTCCATGTAGAGTCCTCAATGGCCACATCATCATCCTCATGGCTCTTATTGATGAAGTACCTCGCAACGATGGAGAGGTGGGCGGGGCCAGGGGGCGCTGGAGCCTGGAGCCTGGCAGCCAGAGGTCAAACCTGAGATTCCTTGGTGTTTCACTGCGCAAACCTCAAGACTTTTCCAGGTGGTTAGGCTGTAGAATTGTGAGGGATGCGTCCAAACCCAAGCATCAGTGAACATGTTCTGAATTGTTTCATCATCAGACTACCCACCTCAACTCTGGATCACCAGGTCTCATCACAATTTACCAAGAAATACAACTAATTATATAATAGTCAAGTCACATCCTGTCACTCACAACTGCCTTCTACTTCCTTATACTTATACCATATACCTCTTAGCATATAGTTAATATTCAATAATAGCCAAAAACACACCTCTCCACACCCCAAGACATCCCTATTCACAGCGCCCAGTTGTGGTGTATCCGCCCAAATCAGATCCCACCAATCTACCCCCCAAAACGAATCAGCCCCTGAGGCCGTTGGAAATCCACTCAAACCACGGTTGGCGCGGCTGCGCCAGGGGTTTTGTTGGATCGAAGACACAGCAAACTGAGATCAATTGAGCACCAGTCCTGACTCAACCTGTTCCTTGTTCAGTGGGGAAACCAATTCCAAAACAGGTTAACGGTTATCCACTGATCCACTTGTCCTGGGTAGGAGGCAGTGAAACATCCAAAGCATATAGTCATCAATTCATGCAGCATCGCCTTCGGACAGAACACGCGTGTGTTGTTTTTCCATGGCCTCAAAGATCAATAACCCATCACAAATCCATTCCCAGAAGTTCTAGGCCTTGAACTGGCTATATGTGGACGCTCCATCTAATAAATATTCGTTATATGAATAATGTGCAATTGGCCTACTTTCACCACACAAAATGCAACACATATAGGCCATAGTTGCAAAATGCATGGAGGAGTGTCAGGGATTTACAGGAAGTACATGTTTGCCGCACTTCCTATTAGTTGACACAACTACAAAGACCAACTCAAGTGGCTTCGGGAGTCCAAGCACGGAACGTCATGCTGGGTTTCAATCTTTTTCAGCTCGGATGGAGGAGCGGTAGAAACTTCGGGGCCCCAATGGGGCGCACTTGAGGCGTCCGCGCACGGAGCTCTTATCAGTTCGCAATTCCAGCATGTCCTCGGGCTAGATGCGGTCATTGCTTGATGTGCAAGACAGAACACATGGGACTGGAAGATATACATATTATATTATATATAATTACCGATCAATTGATCACTGAAATCAGAGATAAATCAACAACCCCAATTAGTGTCAGGGTGTTGATGTGGAAAAGTACAAACACACATCAACATAAGCATTTGATATACTGTAATCAACCATCATCAACCACCACCTTGATGGTTGACCAGATGCTTTGATTCCAACTTGTCGTGGTCCACCGCTAGAGTCCAAGCAAGCCTAGTGAAGTGTGCTAATTGTGCTTCCGTCACGAAGCAGCCAGCTTGGAACAACGCACAGTCCAAATAAGATCAAACAAGTAGATTTGCCTGATCTTTGCGTGCTTTGCGATGTTCCAGCGATGCACGAGCAACACTGCCAGTTCACTTCACTTCCTTTAAAGGGCCACTACAGTTACATAGCGGTAGACATAGTTGGCTTTTGAGTGCGTCAGAACCATGGGCCCTAACCCTTCAGACCGGTTAGAGGGTTCGGCATCTGCAGGATCGTTGTTACGAAGTCATGACAGGAAAAGAGTGACACGGCAGACCGGAAGCCAACAGCAGCCTACACAGGGGAATGGCACCTTCACACAAAGACAGAACGAATTTGGGTGTTGAGGGATGTGTATAGGCAATCCCCATATGAAGCGCGGATGCTTTTCCATCTCTGTTTCCCGGGCACCTCAAGGATGAAAGAATGAATCGAGGGGTTCAACACGGTCCACCCAAGAAGACCCTGCTGGGCGGAGTCTCATTCTACGACCGGGGTTCGGAAGGATTGACGTGGACTGACAGGTATGTTCATTCACCTAACTCCTCAGGGATCCAGTCATACCGAACCTCAGGTTCGGCAGGACTGGACCCTCCAAACCTACATAACAGTGTCTCCAATCACCGAACCTCAGAAGGTACGAAAACGGATCCCTAGGGTAAGAGAACCTATTCAAAAGGCAGCCAAAGTCTGAAGCCACTTCGGCCGTCCTGAATGGTGGCAATCGCCGCCTTCTTGTCCTCAGCTTTCTCAGCTTTCGGGAACATGAGCTGAAGAGTTGTTTCAAGATTCAATCACATTTGAATTGGTGTTTATCACTGTCTATCAACTGGTCTCCCCAATAAAAAGGTGTTCACGTATGATCGTACTGCTGGACATGTGGAGACTTCCGAGAAGTGTTCACGCCCGTGTCGCGCTCGGAACGAGAACGACACACTTCGCCACTGGCGGAGGCAGGTCGCCAGTCACCCGAAGCGTTCTCGATTTGCATCGCCCACCGTGGAGTCCAATGGCCCAGTGGCCCAGAAGGTCTTTCTGACTCCACAAATCGGTTGGGCAACACCATTGCGTTGGTCTCCTTTCTGATCAACCTCCGGTCATTGAGACCGCAATGGTGTTGACAAAAAGGACAGAAAGTGATCGTGCCAAGTTTAAACAAACTCTTCTAGGTACCGATGTGTGATCAACTTCGGCAAGTATCTGATGCCTGCCACACGCAACATAAACATACATAACCCCAATCTGATAAGTAGCTCATGGAGAAATCGCGCGACAATCAACCCCTTCAGATCAGTGAGCTTCACACTTTCGTAACGAAGACAGCAAAACAGCAGACCCAACGCTGGCCATCGGACCAGTTTCGTGGAGAACGAAAACGAGGCTCCCACCGAGTTCGTGCGCCTTCGGGGTCGATGGAGCGAAGCATGGCCAGTCGCCCACCCCCCGCGACGAGGGTCGGGTCGTAACGACCGAGCCTCGTCCTCGCCGGGATCCAGCTGCAGTGTGCGCAGCACTGACAGGACCAGCTCGTCATGGAGGACACCCTCTCCACCTGCATCCCGTGCGAGGGCGCAGCGGCAGGCGAGGGCGGCAGGCAAGGGCGAAGCATGATGAGTGGGAGCGAGCATGACGGGATGAGGGCGGCCACGTCGGAGTTGCGGGAGACGCGCAATGGGATTAGGTTTGTATGATTCTTCCCCGGAGAGGAGGGAAGTTCCCAGCCTTAGCAAGAAAAAGAGTACTCACAGATTGACCCTGCCCAAAACACTCTCACTAGTCATCACAGCTTTGTGGCTGTGAAGGGAGCACGTATCGCGCCAGGTTTTAGCCCGGAGTCAAACAACTGGGCAAAACGCTTCCTTGGCGTCTGACCCTTGGTGTAAATTTGTCTGAGCCCCAAGCGCATCACTTTCAAGTCTGATGGCACTCATCTGTAGAAGTGGGAAAGGTTTAACAGAACTGTTACCAGGAAGAGAATGGACTTGAGGCCAAGGGGGGGGCGAAAGCTAGCGCTCCAGAATGGGAAAGTGGAGGGCAGCGAGGTAGGAAAAAACACGGCGCTCTTTTTGGAGGCAGGGGTGAAGAGTCCTTTATATGTGGCTCTTTGCCCGGATCCTCCTGCGAGAGAAGAGAGAGAAGAGAGACGGAAAGACGAGAGACAGAGAGGAGAGAGAG